ACTTTGATAGTTAACTTAAATAGAAATATATAACATAAACGTCATTTTATTGATTTAAAGAGATAAGAACTCAAGTGATAGTGAGTACCTATAAGGCATAGGACTCTCTTTAATATACTAGATTGAGATCATGATACTAGTCTCTTAAAGTAGTTTATGGGTAAGCCAACCCTTTCTTTTTTTTTCTTCCCTTTTATGTTGATGATTAAGGAAGGGCATACTAGGTAAAGATCCTAGCATTGATAAAGGTTTGGCCTGAAACATAGGTATGAGAAGATAATTGGAAGGCAATAGATGAAATTGTTCGTTCATGTGAGACTAAAAATATTTAAGGGTTTGAACTTCTCTTCTTGAAGGGGATATCAAGACTATTCATCAAATCAAACACTTCTTTGAATCATCTTCAAGTTTCCTTTAAAGAAGTAGAAGGTAGCAAATGGAAAGCAATGATCAATAATCCTAAGGAGTGCAAAGTTTAATGATGGGTTATGATATCCCAATGTCATTAAAGAAACTTTTCATTTTGAAAATTTAGGCATCAACAATGAAACCAAAGAAAGAAAATATCATAGTTTTATCATCTCCAAGTGATTTAACAAAAAACATATCTATGACGTGTGTCAAAGTGTGGCTAAGATATCGTTTCACAAATTGGTTGACCCTAACCCCAAATTTTCAGGTCGGATTCAAGTCAACTTTTATGGTCGTGTCAAATATTGACACCCCTAATCATATGGTGAGATAAGGTATCTCATCCACAACTTATCATACCAATATGGGATGTAGAGATGTTTTTCTCCCAAAGGTTGAAAAGTCTATCTCACATATTGGCAACTTTTTTCCTAAGTTGGCATGCCAAGTTGAAGAAGGGGTGCTGCTGAGGTAGGTGGCCTGAACATGGTGGCTTTGAGTGAAGAAGATAACAAGAAGTGTCATTAACTTATACTTTTTAGATGACTTTGATAGTTAACTTAAATAGAAATATATAACATAAACATCATTTTATTGATTTAAAGAGATAAGAACTCAAGTGATAGTGAGTACCTATAAGGCATAAGACTCTCTTTAATATACTAGATTGAGATCATGATACTAGTCTCTTAAAGTAGTTTATGGGTAAGCTAACCCTTTCTTTTTTTCCCTTTTATGTTGATGATTAAGGAAGGGCATACTAGGTAAAGATCCTAGCATTGATAAAGGCTTGGCCTGAAACATAGGTATGAGAAGATAATTGGAAGGCAATAGATGAAATTGTTCGTTCATGTGAGACTAAAAATATTTAAGGGTTTGAACTTCTCTTCTTGAAGGGGATATCAAGACTATTCATCAAATCTAACACTTCGTTGAATCATCTTCAAGTTTCCTTTAAAGAAGTAGAAGGTAGCAAATGGAAAGCAATGATCAATAATCCTAAGGAGTGCAAAGTTTAATGATGGGTTATGATATCCCAATGTCATTACAGAAACTTTTCATTTTGAAAATTTAGGCATCAACAATGAAACCAAAGAAAGAAAATATCATAGTTTTATCATCTCCAAGTGATTTAACAAAAAACATATCTATGACGTGTGTCAAAGTGTGGCTAAGATATCAAATGATTTGTCAATGTGCGAGGCTCGAATAAGTCAAATCCACATACAAAGATGCACTACACTGAGTTGATGACTCCAACTTGTCAAGTTGTATCAAGGATTTATGACATATATCGTTTTGTCAAGAAGACACCTAGAGGGAACTCATGAAGCAAACAACTCTTGCATGTTGAGTTAACGATAATGGTGACAATATGTCACCAACTTTGCAAGAAGGCTAACAGATGAGACAAAAATAAACAATATTATAATTAAAGGAAATCATCAACTGGTGAATAGGTAAAAAAGTGAAGAGGAATTCAATAAAGGTAAATAAGGGACATAACTGACTTGTCAAATAAGTGAGAATGCAAAAAACTCTATCAAGAAATAGAGGGCTTTGCTCAAGAAAAAAAGAGGGAAGATCTCTATATTTTTTAGAGATATTTTGACGCTTGCTTAGAAACAATCAATAAAAATGAATGTGAAGTTGATAGGGCACAAAAATGAAAGTATTAACTACATTCATTAATGAATTCATTGGCAGTTTGTCAAGAGGAAGTCATTCACCATTCATTGAGGAGAAGAAGGTGATAATTCATTTAAAGGAAGGCCAAGCCAAAGGCTTTGAGATGTTGAGCCATTATCCAAAACTTAGGGGATCCAAATTAGATTGTTTGGAGTTAGATAAAGTTAATCTATAGGAGATACGGTAACGAACGAGCTTAAGTTTCAATGATCAAAAACCTTGATCATACTATGTGCCTACTAAACTCATTGAACAAGTTGGTTAAATTAAGGTTAGCCAAGGGATGACTAACTTTATGGTAAAGCAATCTAAACCCCTCAAATGGGTGTGGTGTTTTCAGGTGGAACATGTTGCACATCAGTGATAATCCCCAAATTAAGTGATAGGACTTATAATAGATGTTGTGTGTTCAAAGAGAACATCTGGCATTCTAAGAACTATATTTCAATTTTTTGAAAGGGTTTATCCATAATGAGAGCTATATAGAACTCTCGACAAGAGAGGTGTGTTCAAAAGGAATATCATATTTGTAGAGAAAAACTACACATAATTTGGGAAGGATCTATACATAATATAATGCAAGAATCCTACATCATGTGTGATGTATCCAAGACAAAACCACATATGATATGGCTTAATTTTCTCTTTTTTTTGTTTCGAAATGACAAAGTTATTTTTGGGTTATTTATATATGACACTTTTATAAAATTATTTTTACGAAACTTCAATTTTGTACTGTTTTAAAAAACTTTTAATATTAACTTCTCCATTAAAATCCTCAATTTTCTCAAACAATAGTCACCTACTATATGCTGACGACTTGCTTATTTTCAGTGACCCTACTGTCCAAAACTGCAATGCTATTATGAGGAAAATGGATATTTTTGCTTATGCTACTGGCCTCCATGTCAATTATGAAAAAAGCTCCATTCTAGTTCCTAAGAATTTTACCTGTGCTGAAACCATTTGTAATGCTTTATCAATTTCTAACCCATCCACTATTATCAATTACCTTGGAATCCCGATCTGCTTTCAAAGGCTTAAGATCGTGGACTTCTCGCCTCTTTTGGATTCCATAGCTAGAAAGCTTACGGGTTGGAGTGCCAATCTTTTATCTTTTGCAGGGCGCTTACAGCTTCTAAAATTCACCATGATAAACTCCATTGCTTATTGGATTAGAGGATCCATATTGCCTAAAACTGTTATAAAATACTTCAGGAAGCTTGCTTCCAAATTCTTTTTTTTTTTAGACTCATTGGCTAGTAAAAAATTGCATTTGGTTGCTTGACATAGTGTTTGTAAGCCTAAGGAAGCTGGGGGCCTTGGTTTGGCGTCTATTCCTGCTCTCCAATTTGGGTTTAATTGCTCCCTTATTCTCAGGACATACAATTATAAATCTCCTTTGGCTGCCTGGCTCCTTCATAAATATAATTATCCCTGGAAATCGGCCTCCTCTAAGGCTTTCAAATTCTGGAAATATGTTTTCTCTACTGCAGCTGCGGTTAAAACCAATTTCAATTTTCTTATTTCTCCTAACTCCTCTGTTTCATTCCTTTGGGATCACTAGTGCTTTGGAGTCAACTTAATGAACTATCCGGAGATGAGTTCTCTCTCTCAGATGTTTGCTTGTAACACAATGGTTGGAAATTTCATTAATGCTGGGAGCTGGTGCCTTCCTAGATTCATATCTACGGTTATTTCTCACTTGATTCAAAGGATTACTATATCTGAGCATGTCCCAAAATGTTTACTTTGGGGGGACAATGGTCATCCCAAACTCAGGGATTTCATTACTGAGTTTTATAATTTTGCACCTGTTTGCAATTGGGCTGAATTCCTGTGGCATAAGGGACACATTTTACGTTATTCAGTGTTTGGGTGGCTTGCATTGGCAGGTGGACTTAAAACTGCCATGGATCTTAAGTCCCGCAATATTTGTGTAGACTTAACTTGCTCTTTTTGTCATTCCTATAATGAGAGCTCTACACACCTATTTTTCGAATGTTCCTATTCTCACAGCATTATTACATCCTTAATACCTGGCTGCTCCTCGATTCTTCTCCTGCCTATCTTGATGCAGTTATTCTACTGGGTAGATGCTAAGCCCAACTCCTCTGAAAAAAGATTCTATTTCCTCATTATATGTTGTACTGTTTATCATGTGTGGAAGGAATGTAATGAAAAGTGTTGCCCACTCTGTTGCTAGCCACTCTACCATCTGTCTCAAGATAAAAAGGGTTGTCTCCTCCTAAGTTTTACGCTGGAAAGATGGGATTTCTTTGATGGATTTGCTTTAATCTGCTACAGCCTGATTTTTGGATACTCTGGTTACTTAATGCCCGTGATTCATTGGATGTTCCTACTCGTTTTTTGTTTTTTTTTTTGGGCAATGATGCTGATTGCAGTTGCTATCTCCCTGGATGGCGGTCTCTTGCAACTTGACTCCCTCATGACGGCAGTTCTAGCAACTGGGGGAGCTGTGCTCTATTTGGTGATTGCAATCATTTTTTCCTGAGTCCTTCGGTTTAACACCATTTTTTGTCGGGTTTTTCTCTTTCTTGTTTCATGTGTATTTTTGGCGCGGATAGGTGCTGTTTTTGGTTTTTAGGATACTCCTCTCCCCTTAATCACCTTTTCTGTTTACACATGTGACTATTTTTCTTTAATGGAATTGGGCTCTGCCCCTAAATTTTCCAAAAAAAAAAAAAAGTTTAAAACTACCTTCTATAAAAAGACATCGGATTAACAAAAGAAGCATTATTTTGGCAAACCAACCAAATAGCCAATTATAGATACATAAACGAGAGCTCTTTTGCAAGCCATCAGATCGAATGAAAATTGATCCATTGCCGTTCGATCCCGCTCCATTTCTATCTTCATACTATAAATCTCCGTGGATGTTAGGGTTTCTTTAACGCGCGGCTTTGCAGTTTCGCTATTAGGGTTTTTTTCACCTCTCATCTTCGAGTGACAATCTCAGGGGTTAAAGAGACGGGTTTTGCGTCCCGTCCGCCTTGGCAAAGCTGTGCTTCGTCTTGGCCCTCGAGTCAGCCGCATCTATCTTAGGAATTATTTCCTTCCATCGCCACTCTAACCCTAGAGGCTAGACAGGATTTAGGGATTTATTTGGATTCGTAAATTTTTAGCGGTAAAGATGACGGTGAAGCTCTCCAAAGCCGAGAAGAAGGTCAAGTACGACAAGAAGCTGTGCCGCATGTTGGACGAGTACAGCAAGGTTTTGATCGCGTTGGCTGACAATGTTGGATCTAATCAGTTGCAGAATATCAGGAAGGGTCTGCGAGGTGATTCCATTGTTCTCATGGGTAAGAACACTCTCATCAGGAGGTGCATCAAAGTGCACGCTGAGAAGAGTGGCAATCAGGCTTATCTAAGTCTCCTTCCTTTGCTCGTGGTATGCTCTTTTTATTTATTTTGCGCTAATTCTTCTGTCTTTGGTTTCTGGTTTCTGATGCGTTATGATCAGCTTTGTCTAAGCTTGACCTGAGATTGGCTTAGAATCATGTCAATAAATTATATATTTTAATGGTAATTTGAAAAAGAAAATTAATGCCCCAGAAAAGATTTATTTTTCTTCCTTCTGTAAATTTGGTGGTTTTCGATGGTTCTGAGATGTATAATATTTAATCTATATTTCCCCTTAAACGTTTGTATGAATTGAATGTAATTCTTCTTTATGCTACAGGGAAATGTGGGGTTGATTTTCACCAAAGGAGACCTTAAAGAAGTCAGTGAAGAGGTTGCAAAGTACAAAGTAAGAAATTGTGGCCTATAGCTATCTTTGAAAACATCTAATTTTTTGTGGTTTGAAAAAAAATAATTCAGATTTGTTTAACCTGCCAACATGGAAATTTGAGATATCATATATCTGATGATTTTGATAAATACATTATTCCATGCATAATCTGTCTTGTAAGTTGATAATTGTAATTTTCCATGTTTTAAGATAGTTTGCAGACGATGCTTTTTATATTTTGTTGTTTGGTACTGGCCATTATGCTTAATTATGATTGACATTAGCCTTAGTTGAATAGGGGCCAGCTTTAGGAACACTCATCATTCATTCATTATTGGTATGTTAAGTTTATTTTACACAATTTTTTTCTTCATAATTTTTAGCCATGTTAACTTTGGTTTATTCCTTTAGCTTATCCTTCCAAAGTAGTTTAACTAGTTTAATTGGCGTATCTTCTATTATTTGTTTTACTTGCCCAAATCACTTAAGTTTATTGCCAGAATTTTTGATGTCATCATTTCTAAACATATTATTCTTAGTTTTATTATGCATCCATTTTAACATTTTTACTTCTAATAGCATAATTTATCTTATCGTAATTTTGTAAAATTTTTTTTAGGTCTATTGTATTATTTTATTGTATGATGTCTCGAGTAACTTTTCTCATTTTAAACTCATCGCATAAACTCTAGAAATTTTATCAGTGTACTCTTATTTAAATTTCCCATTATACTATCTAAGTGATTCATGATGCTTAAAATTATGCATGTCGGTATAACTTGATGTTATAGTAGTATTTACTAATTGTTTGTTTCACGAGCACTGAAATTATATATTACACATTCTTTATTTGATTAAGAACCCTTATTTTCAAAAAAAATTCTCCATTATTATGCTTATTTATGATTATTGCGGCTAGAATATTCACGGCAGTAGAATGAGTAAACTTTTCTTCTTGGAAATGCACGGATATCTAGCACACAAACAGAAAGAGAAAAGTAAAACACCCGATTTTTTTACGTGGAAAGCCTGAAGAGGGAAAACCACCGGGCATCGCCAAGGTGAAAATATTCCATTAAATTTGAGTGAATTACAAATGTTGACCCGTCCCTTGACTCTGAGGCTGTCAAATTACAGTAGTTTGGAGAGTTAGGCTAAGGTCTGGCGATGGTCTGGCGGAAGTCCGATGGCGTCCGTGCAGAATTTTAGCTGACGGGGAATGATCCGACAAAGGTCAAGCAAAAGTTCGACGACGCTCGAATGATAGGTTGAAATCCGGAGGCGGTCGGCGGTGATCGGACAATGGTCGGGCTGAAGTCCGGAAGCAGTCGGCGGCCGGGTGGAAGTCCGACAACGGTTGGCAGTCGGGCTGTGGTATAACGATGGTTGGGCTGAAGTCCGGCGGCGTTCGGCGTCCAGGCGGTGGTGCTGGAGCTCTTGAAGCTTCAAAGTTCTCTCAAATTTCTAGCCAAAGGCCCCCCTCATGTAAAGATTGGGGATCTATTTATAGATTTTTATGAGTGACACGCCTCATAAATATAGAGAATATATGGAGTGTTTTGGAGTGCTCCATCGGATGACCCTTATTGATTCCCCCAATCATAAAACGTTTATCAGACATTTGAATGTCTTAATGATATCAGAATTTGATGATCTTGGGCTTGTTGGATTTATCTTGTCGAGCCACTCGATTCGACTATAAGCATGTCACGTTTGAAAACCGTTTGGTAATCCAAATTGTTGTTTGAACCTTCCAAAAGCGTTTCAAGTCTTTGATTTGGACCCATTTGAGCTTGGATTGAGTCAAATTTGATGTCGTTGGGTTCATATTTTTGAGACGATCAGTTTGACTATAAGTTTGCTAAAATCAGAGTTCAGATGATCCAAATTTTAATTTTTGAAGTTTCCAACTTGATTTTTCCTCAAGATTCGTGCACGATCAGAATGATGTTTTGTGACGTATCAATGATGATGTTTCACCTATTGGAATTATTCCATTTGCAAAAGGCATGCATCAAGTTGCTTCAAGTTTAATATACTTTGAAAGCTTCTTTATAACTAGTTTAAAATATGCGGGCTTAATGTTCATCCTTTATGTAGTCTTATTATCTAGAAATTATTCATCACTAGCCACTATTTTTTATGTAATTTAATTTTCTAGCTTACATGCATAAGGATCTTTAACACGAATTTGACACAACCTGTTCTCCTAAATCACACCACATTACTTCTTGTGGTACTTTATCGCATTTTTTCTCAAGATCATTAAAAACCATATGATTATCATATGTTTTCCTTATATGTTTTTCATTATTTCCTTACTAATTTTTTTTTTCATCACAGTGAACCCAATGTTAAATAAAATTTTATGTCAATGTACTTTCCCATTCTCCTTTCATAACTTAGCCATGAGACTACGAGTTTGCATACCTTATGATTAGTTTTAAGTACTTTGTTCTATAATATTGGTATTGAAGTGTTTCTTATAATTATTTTTCATATACAATTTTTAAGAGTGCAATGAAAATATTCGTTAACCACCACTACAATAATTATCTGCACTCTTCAAATTTTAATATTGAACTCATGAGCTTAAAGTTTTTCCGTCTTGCGTTTTTAAACAAATAATCTAATCCCCCTTATTGGATCAATTATAGTATGCATCATAGTTCTCCTAACTTAACTTTTATTGCATAACTTGATCATTGTCTTTAGATATCCTACTTCATGCCTTTTATATTGTAATTTTTTTTAAAGTACATCCAATTAAATTAATAATGAAAGTTTTTATCTTTTTCACTTCCAATAAAAAAAATTTAGCTTTTGATAACTGTTATAAAGGTATGTTTGTGGCAATTTTTCACTATTTTGCTTTTCAAATTGTTGACATACTTTTGTTTTGCTACATATTTCTTACTTTTTTCTGGAATTTTGTGGTGAACTTTTTTATAGAACCAAATCTGCTTTGAGTATGATAGTTGTAAAAAAGCTGCTAAAAATTGTTTTATAATTTTTTTAAAAAGAAATATATTTATGATACTCAGAATAATTTTCAAAAAAGGCTTTCCCCACAACTCTACAACTACCTTTACCAAAAGCTATAGCTACCCCAAGTTAACCCTATGTATCAGTAGTATTTTTTTCCCTTTATTTGTAAGCATATTATTTCGCTTAAATTTATATTTTATTTTTCTACTTAACCATCAATTCTTTTTTTCTCTTCCTTTTGCTTGAGATATATTTGAACTCTTTTAGAACTTCTACAGAGGACTTAGTACAACTTGCTATCTCATTCCACATTGAGGTTGGTTAGTCATAAGATTCTGATTTATGTTTGGGTCAGTCATAAGATTCGGATTTACCTTTGGTATTTACTTGTCTCAAACGATTAATAATTTGATTAATTTCTCACTTTTAAAGTTCATTAACTTATTATATGATAACTTTTTCAGTTGATAATTTTTTTTAGCTTTATTTGTCATACATTGATCATTACTGCTGTATGGGAAAACTTCTCGAGTTATCTTAAATTTATCTCAAGTGAAATTTTGTCCAACCTGGCAAAAGAATATCTTATTTATTTCCTATTTCATGATCATATGTTATTATAAAATTAAAATCAACTTTTCCCATAAAATTTCTATCTCCTATTCTATAGCCATGATTGACATCTCTCCAAACCATCCATTGTGAACTTGTATCTAGTTAAGTGTTACCAATAATTATTTTTTCCTTGGATTTACATTAACTCATTCATCTCTTTCATAGCATATTTCTTAAGCAATCGTCTAAATCAATTTGAGGAGCATGAGCAAATATCATTTTTGTAATGACAACAACAACAATAATATCAAGCTTTTATACCGCTATGTGGAGTCGGCTACATGAATCCTTTTTTTTCTATTGTGTCATGTTAAAAGTCAAATTCTCGTTTAAATATAAGGAAAAAAAAGTAATTTATATTATTTTCTAACCAAGTCTTTTTAGGTCTTCCTCTACCTATTTTAATATTGGCCAAATCTAATATATATACTCTACTAACTATGTCATCATAAGCATAACATTTTATGTAGCCAACCATCTAAGGTGACTGTTGCTAATCTTATTTGTCACTGGAGGTACTCCAACCTTTTCTCATATATGTACATTTCACATCTTGTCTCTAAGAGTAAAACCACTCATCCACCTGAGCATTCTCTTCTCTGCAACACTTAACTTAATTTTATTCTTCTCTTTTAATAGCCAACATTTTGCACCATAAAGTGTTGCTAGTCATTTATAATGACATAACTAATAATTTTTCTCATAGGAATGTCCTACATTTTTTATATTCACCATCGAATTTCTATTTTTCTAATCTCTATCCATTAATATCTTTACTCCATTACTATTTTTAACCTTTACAATATACAATAAATTATAACCTCTGCCATTGTCTTTGTCTTTCCCCTCTCCATTTAATTGCTTATAAACATGCAATATTAGTTCTTTAATTATCATATTAGCTAATTATTGAAAATTTCTATAACATGATTAACATCCAAACATACCATATAAGGATTCTTAGTTTTTATACTTTTTCTTACTCTCATTCACTTTCCACTACAATTGGGTTTAGATGTGGTGCACACTGAATCACCCTAGCCAGCAACAGTATTTACCCAAATGCCACCTTGATTAATAAAAGTTTTGGCTTATCATTTTGTGAGTGAATTCATGCACCCTTGCTTTAATTCACATTTAGGTTAGCTCTTTGGGTCATTTCAGAGATCTTAGCATTAAATTAATGAATATGGATGCATATTGTAAATTTAAGCTTCATGTTTTATGATTGCTTGTCAACCTGACACCTAATAATAATCGTTCATTTTGACTTGTTTTGTTGCTTGTAACATTTAGTTTCTTTAAATGTATTTTCAAGGAAAAGATGGATGCCATGTTTGCTGTGGAAATCATAGCTTGTTCTAGAGCATGCCAGTGAGCATACATTATTAAGTTTCGTTTCAAGATTGTTACAAGTTCAGCTCAAGTATTTGGTTTTTTATATTTTTTTATTTTTAAATGAGTATCACCTTATGTTTTTGGATATTTTTCTATTAGAGATGTGATTTGAATATTCACTGATGGTATTCATTGTAACCAACCAAAACGTAAAAAATCTTTTAGTATCGTCTTCATTCAAGTTCTTAATTGTTCTGTTTTGATTTCTCTTTAATCAGGTTGGTGCTCCTGCTCGTGTTGGTCTTGTTGCCCCTATTGATGTTGTTGTTCCTCCGGGCAACACTGGCCTAGATCCTTCACAGACCTCTTTCTTCCAGGTTAACAAAATACTCCTCACCATCTTATGACGTTAATATTTTTTTAAAATTTGTGTTCTTTAATCCATTTATTATCGCTTTAGGTGCTCAACATCCCTACCAAGATTAACAAGGGTACCGTTGAAATTATTACCCCGGTCGAACTGATAAAGAAAGGCGATAAGGTGGGATCCTCAGAGGCTGCCCTCCTTGCTAAGCTGGGGATTAGGCCATTCTCTTATGGCCTTGTTGTCCAGTCTGTGTATGAGGATGGTTCGGTGTTCAGTACCGAAGTGCTCGATCTCACTGAGGATGATCTCATCGAGAAATTTTCAACCGGTCTTTCTATGGTCACCTCTCTCTCACTGGCTATCTCGTATCCCACCCTTGCTGCAGCACCTCACATGTTCATCAATGCTTACAAAAATGTCCTCGCCGTCGCAATTGCCACTGATTACACATACCCGCAGGCTGAGAAGGTTAAAGAATATTTGAAGGTACTTCCATAGTTCCATCTTATAAAGCGCGCCGTGGTTTTGTGCTTTGTTTGTTGATCCGGATTCTAAGGCTTCGTTTGGGACGATTTTTTACTGCTTTTTAAAGCGGTTTTTTATAAAAAAATTTAATGTCTTATTTTGTACTGTAATTGTTAATTATTTTGATCAATCTAATGCAGGATCCCAGTAAATTTGCTGTATTTGCTGCACCTGTTGAATCTGTTACTCCGGCTGCCTCTACTGCTCCGGCGGCTGCAGTGGAAGAGAAGAAGGAAGAGCCCGCTGAGGAATCTGATGATAATATGGGTTTCAGCTTGTTCGACTAAGCTTTGTTGTTGGCCTTCTTCTAGAAATAAAAAATCACTAGTAAGATTTGGAACAATTGTCTTTGGAAGTTTTCATTTTGTCGATACTGTTTTGCAGAACTTTGAGCTGTTGAATTTGTTTTGTTAGCAGTTTGGTGATAATATTGTCTTTGAATTGTCATAATTTATCGTTTGTTATGAATCTTTTTTTTTTTTACTTTTATTAGGACATGTATCCATTTGCTTATGAGAAAATAATGTTGTTGTTGCCGAAAGCTATTCCTGTAGATTTTGTTTCAAGGTCTGTTTGTGACGGCAAATTATTACGTGCGGTGTCCGGACTGTTCGGAGGTGAATCCGGATGCGCCATGTCAACCGGATGCACCGGGGTCGGGGTGATGTGGCACGTCCGGATTCGCCTCTAGACGAATCCGGATGCCGCACGTAATAATGTCGTTTGCGACAGCTTGGCTTGCTTTCTTTATTTTTCATATAGCATGCTTGATTTCATTTGGCTATTTTTTTGTTCCTTTTTCACTGTTTTATTTCAAAAAAAAATTGTAGTGAAAATTTATTTTTTATATTTCTTACAACCAATTTTATAATAAGTTGCAGCCTTCCATTTACAGTAAATTTACAACCAATTTTAAGTAAGATTTGTCTAAAATTATAGTTGTTTCAGTTTGATTTGAGTTTGACTCATGTGTCAATCAAATGAGCTTATTGAGCCTATTAATAAGCATTTTTGTTTGTTTATTGAACTTATTAATGGAGGCAGTTTTGGGAGACTTGAGATGTGATTAAATTTTAACATAATCCTTCATTATTCGTATATGATTTCAATTAAGTCTCTATTAAATAAAATTGATCTAAAATGATCATTTTAAGATTAAATTGAGATCAATATTATAAAGCCAAGTGATTAAATTGTGATTATTTTTATGTTATAACTATAACAAGACCGACTTTTGAATCAATTTTATATATTCTAAGATTAAATATGTCATGTGTATGAAAAATTATTCTGTGCGGACATCAGATGACGATCGGAGATCAATTAGTGTGCGCAACGATTTTTTTATTTTTTGCTCGGTACTGGTATTTGGTATTGCTATGTATTGGTTGACATTGCGTTCTCGTTGATTTTTGAACCTTGTTCTTATTGATCATAGCATTGATTGATGTGGTGCGTTTTGGTTGATCTCTGAATCTGATTCTGACTGATCTCCGGATCTCACATATTAATTTCTCTGAACACCCTTGGTTCTATTTTGAATTTTTTTACTTTGAGATGCAGCACAGCCTGTCAACTATGATCGGCTTACTAACCAAAATTTTTTACATTTATGTGACGGCATCTCTATGATCATCTCGCTTTATTCGGAAGTTTTATTTGGTCCGGTCGACCGAATAAGAGAAACATTCGGTCGCAAGAAAAATTCCGCTGTACCGAGGTGTATCGAGTTTTTTGAAAAAAATTTGATACACCTCGGTATAGCAGGATTTTGCCTGCGACCGAATGTTTCTCTTCATCTGATCGGAGGACGTAATAATTATTCCTTTATTCGTGGTGCTCTTCATTCTATTAAACTCAAATTGCTCACGTAGTATTGATGACACATATTCGATTTCCTATCAGCACGCGCCGAAGAGCCGAAGCTCATTTTCACATTATTCAGGGGGACCCACAGCATCACGTGGCATGCAAGCACTTGTCAGTTCGTCTTAACGCATCTCGCATGTCCCGCCGCTTGCACCGGCACGCGGGAAACCAAATTCTGATATTTTTATGCGTGCGCCGACTACGCACCCACTCGCGCGCCCGCTTCCTAACCGCACCACCGTGAATAATACCGAAACCTCAACTGCAGCCACTTGCCCCGCTACACGCGCCTGTAATTCTATCGTGTTTGTTGACCGAAGCCGCGTCGCATGCGCAGCGGCTTTCTAGGCGGTCTTCGGCCGCCTTGTCCTGCTTTTCCGTCAAGTATGACCGAGTAAGCGTCAAACGCATGATCTAAAACAAAAACGAACGCTAAGTGCAATTTTGGTTCCTTTTTTTTTTAAATGATTTTATTGTTATAAAAAAAATAAAATTTGAAGACTATGATAGTATTAGAAATATATGTATTCTTTGAATAATATCATACAGCAGTTTTTGTTATCAAATCTGATAATAAAAATCAGTTTTCTATTACATATATATATAGCTAATATTTGATGATTAGATGTTTGACTGTTTGAATTTAAAAGCATTTATATTTGGTGATATTTATGTTTATCAATGATTTTAAATTTGAATAAAGAATATGATTTAATTTTATTTTAGATATGTTTAAAAGGTTACTATTGCGTGTGGAGTTCATTTCTCTTAAATAAAAGAGGCCTACATCATAGAGACTAATAAAAAATATCTCTATGGATAAGAAGAAATATTTTTGCAATGATATTATGAAGTAATAGTTTAATCAAGCATTCAAAGTCACTCTTATTATTGTCATGTGCATATATATATATATATATATATATATATATAGAGAGAGAGAGAGGATATCCTCATATGCTTATATGAACTTGACTAATAACAATAGTTGCATCAGCATAAGTAGACTCTTAGATCCTCATATGACAATCAAACTCTTAAAGGGATATGTAAACAATATGGTGCTCCAAAATCTCCATTGATGATCAAAAACCCTAATGGATGATAAAAATTATTATCCATAAGAGCTCCATTGATGATCAAAAACCCTAATGGATGATTCAAATAAGTAAATTTGTTAACAATATATACGCTGCCATAAGAGCTCCATTAGTCATCAAAGTGCTTACCAAAATCCCATATTTAATACCCTATTAAAATAAAGCACAAATGGAAAAGCCATTTCTAATGAATTTCACTACAGGAAAAACGCCGAAATCCGGCGGTTAGCCTATATTAACCGGCGGTTTTTTTAACTACCGGCGGCTTTACGGCGGTTTTTGTGCCGCCGGAAAAAATAGCGTAGGAAACTATTACCGGCGGTTTATGTAGCCGGCGGTTTTCCGGCGGCTCCGACCGCCAGTTTCAACTGGATTTTATGCCGGCGGTTTTTCGGCTGTGACGCCGCCGGTTAATTGACCAACGGCCTACCGGCGATCTATTTACCGACAGTTCTCTGGCGGTTTAGTTAGCCGTCGTATGTTTTTAAAACCGCCGGCCTTCG